CGAATCTACGGTAGGGAAATATAAAACATGCAGATGAAATAAAAGAAAAAGGTGAAGTTGTATCAGTTTTTTGTGGTTTGCAAACAACTATGAGGAACAGAGGTTTTACCATGATAGAAATGGAGAGTCTATTAGCTGTATGGATTGAAGATTGCAATAAAAAATGTTTCTCTTAGCAGAGCAGCCATTCAGACAAAAGCTTCAAGTTTAAATTATTTAAGGCAGTGAAAGAAAATAGAAATAAAAAGAATAGTGAAGAAACTTTTACTAGAAACACTTCTTTTGGCTTAGCACTTCTTTTTTATTATAATAATAATAATACTAGAAACACAGGTAGGTTTGATCACTTTAAAAATTGAATTCAACTGCATAATGTTAAAATTATTAGTGAGACGGCTAGCACAAACGAGGATGCAGCAGCTCAATATCCTGATGTTTTGAAGAAGAAAATCAAAGAAGGTGGATACACTGATCAACAAATATTTAATGTGGATGAAACGGGCTTGTTCTGGAAATGGATGCCTTCCAGAACTTACATTTCTAAGAAAAACTCAACAATGAGCATTTAAAGAAGCTAACCATTATTCTGAAAAAGCAGATAATTTGCATATGACGGAGTTTTACTCTCAAAGAATTTGAAGACATCTTTTGAGGTGTAGAAATCATGAAGCAAAAAGTTATGGATGCTGACCCTAATGTCGATTCAGTATGCAAATTCACCAAGATGTGGATAAAGTTCTCTGTACCTAGCTTATGTATGAAAATTTAAAGAAAGAGAAGACTGTCCAGTCTATGCTACTAAAATATTTTAAACAACAATAATGATGCTTTCCGCATGTCATCAGGTACGATATTCTGGGGAGCTGGAAATACACCTAAAGTCAGTACCTGACCAGCCAGGCTGTGGTTCATATGTTGGATTATGTACTGCCAGCAGTAACAGCCTGGTTGATCAGGCCGTGATTCACAACTAGGCTTGGTCATGGACCAGGCTGTGGGGGGTGCTGACCCCTAGAACACCCTCCAGAATCAGAAATACATTTTTCTTATCCTTTGTTGTTATATTACCTTAACCCTTTCAGGGTCCAAGGCCAAAATCGGAAGGGGTGCCCCAGTGTCCAAGAAATTTAAAAAAAAAAAAAAATTCTTACAGAATTAAAGATAATATTTTTGTGAAGGTAATAAAACCAAAACAAAAAATTTCTGATCAGTACTTACCGAGATACAGCGGCGGGAAGTTGACCCAAAATGACCGGGTGGCAGCAAAATCTCATTTTTTTATTTTACTTTTTTTATACTTTTTTCTCTTCTTTTCTAATTTTTTCTTTTTCTAATAACATTTGTGGCCTGTGAGACCAATATAATGCACATGTATAAGTGTACACTCATTGTATTCAACACAATAACTGCACTAATTTATCTATTGTAAACAAAATGATGAAAATATTAGTGTGGTTATCGTGTTGAATACAACGGTACCATATAGTACCATATGGTACAATGGTGCCATAGGGTGCAATGGTACCATATAGTACAATTGTACATATGATACAATGGTACCATATGGTAGAATATTGTACAATGGCACCATTTTTTACAATGGTACCAAATGGTACAATGGTACCTTATGGTACCAAATGGTGCAATGGTACCTTATGGTACCAAATGGTGCAATGGTACCTTATGGTACCATATGGTGCAATGGTACCATATGGTACACTGTACCAAACAGTACAACGATACCATATGGTACTGTTGTATTCAACACAATAAACACTAATATTTTCATCATATTTTGTTTACAATAGTTGTTTATAATCAAAATATGCAAAAATGTTGTATATTAGTAATGTTCTATTATATATTTACAAATGTGCAGGAACTCGACATGCTCCTTGAGGTGGATGACAAAGCTCTTTGTCTCGGAAACTGCGGAGTCAGTAGCTAGCTTGCGTCGCCACTCAGTCTTGACTGGTGTCTCATGCCACCAACACCTATTGACCATATGGTACACAGTATCATATGTTACAGAGTACCATATGGTACATTGGACTATATGGTATAGGGTACCATGCAGTACAGGATAACATATGGTGCAGGGTACCATATGGTGCAGGGTACCATATGGTGCAGGGTACCATATGGTACAGGGTACCATACAGTACAGGACACCATATGGTACAGATACAGGGATCCCTATGGAAATAAGTCACCCTGACTTTTTTGGGTTATCCTAGGATTTTATACGTATGCTGCTGTGTATGATAATCTATGTAATTGTACAGTGGACCCTCGCCTAATGCTATTAATCCGTTCCTGAGAGCTCAACGTTAGGCGAAATTATCGTTAGGCGATAAGATGATCTAGCAGCTCATCAGTGGTTAGTTCTTCATTGTCCTCCTCCACCAACTCTTCCACATCCTCCCCACTAACCTCCAACCCCAAGGACTTCCCCAATGCCACAATGGATTCCTCAACTGGCATAGGATTTCCCCGGGTTAGCCCCAAACCTTCAAAATTTCCCTTTTTTTACACATTGTGGCCAAAAGTTTTTTTCCAAGCAGAGTTCAAGGGCCTCTTAGTCACTTCCTCCCAAGCCTTGCCTATAATGTTTACACAATTGAGGATGCTAAAGTGATCTCTCCAAAACTCTCTTAGAGTCAATTGAGTTTCTGAGGTCACTACAAAGCACCTTTCAAACATAGCTTTTGTGTACAGTTTCTTGAAGTTGGAAATGACCTGCTGGTCCATGGGCTGCAGGAGAGGAGTGGTATAAGGAGGCAAAAACTTTACCTTAATGAAGCTCATTTCCGCAGAAAGTCGCTCTGCCAGGTCTGAAGGATGACCAGGAGCATTGTCTAATACCAGGAGGCACGTAAGGTCCAATTTCTTTTCCATTAGGTAATTTTTCACAGTGGGGGCAAATGCATTGTGTAACCAGTCATAGAAAAAGTCCCTAGTGACCCATGCCTTACTGTTTGCCCTCCACAGCACACACAAATTAGCCTTGACGACACTGTTTTTCCTGAACACTGGGAGTTTCAGAGTGATACACCAATAAAGGCTTCACTTTGCAATCACCACTAGCATTGGCACACATCAACAGAGTAAGCCTGTCTTTCATAGGCTTATGTCCTGGGAGTGCCTTTTCC